TGAGTGAGTGGGCAACTCAAACGAGGCAAAAAAATCTTAAAAATCTTGCCGCAGATTCCAACGCAATCCATCAAAGTGCAAAACGAGTTGTTATAGCAACAAATCTCATTGTGATCCAAAGGATTAAATTTTCAGAATTTGTAGGCAGGTGAGTGATTGCTCCTTTGACATTCCGAACCATCCATAGATAATCACCTTCTAAAGCCTAGACCGACGATGTCAGTATCAAGATTAAAAAAAGACAAAAGCTTGAGATTCTCCTATTATTATTACTCTCCCATTACCATCCCATGGCATGGCATGTTTATTCGATGCTGACTGACCAATCATATCGAATCCTATTCCGTGTTACAAACTCTAAACCAGATCACTGTTTTCGTTATTATTATTATTATTACTGCTAGTTGTTATTGCGTGGAGGGGCTTTTGGTTTTGTGCTAGCTTAAATTCTGATTTTAAGGAATTGGTTTCTTCTGGTGTACATGATTAGCAGCAAATGGGTTCCTGCCCCTGTTTTGGTTCCAGGAAAGGGAAGAAACTCAAGTCCCAAACCAACAATTGCAACCCTCAATTGTCTCTTCGTGAGTTTGTTTACTACGTTTCATTTTCTAATCTTCTGTGATTTTTTTTTTTTTTCTTTCTGAACTGCTAATCTTCTTTGAAATTGTCTTCATCTTCTGATATTTGTATTCCATTTTGCTCTTTTATTAACTGTTGCTTAGATTTTGCATGAAATCTAAAAGATATGAGCAATTTCAAGCACTGTGTGTGTGTGATGGGTCTAATACAAATACCCAACTTTTATCATTCACCGGTTTTAATTAAGTTGATTCAATATCAAGTTAATTCCTGGTTAAGATTAAAATTGAGTGTCTTATCTTATTGAAATTACATCAGGGAAAGGGAATGTGTGGAAATGTAATGTTTATCCCTTGTTAAGGTGACGCCTTTCTTTCTGTTTAGACTATTTCAAAAGAATGGGATGGAAAACTGTTCCCCCTAATTTTTTCCAAGCTCAGTAGATTGGATTCCTCATCTGTTTCCTTAGCTAATTAAATTTTATATTTGAATATCTTTGGATTTTACAGTTTTTAATGCATAACAGCATGATACCAGTTTCTGTCCTGCTTTCTAACTATACAAATATACATACAGGAACAAAAACAGGAGGTAATATGATTGGTTCAAAGAAAGAAATGGGATCAAGAGAGGCAGCATCCACTCCACAAAACGAGTCTACTTCTGGTCATGGTGTTCCAATATTTTCCTATCTGGAACTTGCAAAGGCAACAGAAAATTTTAGCAACAAATCTTTGATCGGGCGAGGTGGATTTGGGGCTGTTTATCGAGGGCAACTAGAAAGTACCGGTCAGGTAAATTCTTCCATTTTTCTACTTTTGAATTAGTTTCTCTTTGTAACTTAATATATTTTTGGACAGCTGGTTACATGTATTATGATTTGTTTTGCTTGCAGGTTGTAGCTGTTAAACGGCTAGATAAGACTGGTTTCCAAGGAGATAAGGAGTTTCTGGTGGAGGTTCTTATGCTTTCGCTTTTGCGTCACCCTAACCTTGTGAGTTTGATTGGTTATTGTGCTGAAGGAGATCAGCGGCTTCTTGTCTATGAGTACATGCCCCTGGGTTCCTTGGAATACCACCTTCATGGTAATGTTAATTCTCAATGCCATAATTTAGTTGTGTTTCCGTAACTTGAACCATATGTTCAACTTCAGATTTTTGTTACTATCTAGACATCCACAATGGAAAATGTTGAAACAATTAGTACATGGATGGAAAAGAAGCGGACAACTACTTGCATCAGCGCATGAAGTGTCATTTCAAATCATAAGGCCTATATATAGATGTTGTTCTGTTGCACATATATGATTGGCTGTCAATCCTCTAATATATGTATAGGATATGGGTTTGTTGCATGTTGACATATCTGTAATATTTGTGCGTAGGAATTCATAAAAATGTTGCTGAAATATGGTGTTCTAATTCTATGTTGTTGTTTAGTGAACATATATAATGTATAAACAATCATTTTGCAGATCTTAAGCATGATCAGAAACCTTTGGACTGGAACACGAGAATGAAGATAGCTGCTGGTGCAGCTAAAGGACTGGAATTTCTGCATAATGGAGCAGATCCTCCTGTTATATACAGAGATTTAAAATCTTCCAACATATTATTGGATGAGGGCTTCCACCCAAAACTCTCTGATTTTGGACTTGCCAAATTTGGTCCAAGTGGAGATAAATCACATGTTTCAACCAGAATAATGGGGACTCGTGGTTACTGTGCTCCAGAGTATATGAACAGTGGCAAATTGACAATGAAGTCTGACATATTTAGTTTTGGGGTTTTTCTGTTGGAGCTGATTACTGGTCGAAAAGCACTTGATGACACCCGCGATCGTGATCAACGCTCCATAGTTGATTGGGTAATTTACTTAAAATGCTTCCTTAAGATTCTCAGTTCACTCAAGCTATAAAATTGCTTGTTGAGATGTTTACAGAACTATATATATATATATATATATATAGTTGCAAAGCCACATGAACACCACAAATATTACAGAAAGCAAACCATTTTTCATTTATGAACTTAGTCTATCCGGATTTTTTTATTGTTCTTTTGGTTTGTAGGCACGCCCTCTGTGGAAAGACAGCAAGAACCTTGCACCACTAGCTGATCCACTGCTGGAAGGCCAGTTCTCTAAATCGACTTTTAAGAGGGCTATAGAAATTGCAATGTTGTGCACCCAAGAAAATGCTAATGGCCGCCCTTCCACCAGCGAACTGGTGAATGCTTTAGATTTCTTGGCATCCCAACCATATAACCCAAATGAAGACAAAAGAGTGGGTAACAAGAATCCTGTGAATGATGAATATTCTCCGGAGAAAACAAGTAAGATGTTAGACAGAGATTTAGAAAGAGAACGAGCTGTTGCTGATGCTAAGATGTGGGGAGAAACTTGCAGAGAGAAAAGACAACAGCAAGGTGCAGAGAGTAACGCAGATGGGATAAACAGGTAACAATAGATGGATCATGGATGTCACACCATTCATCTTGTTAATGAAAGATGGATAAATGAAGTTGAGGGTGGAGCAGGGCAGGCAATTGTTTTGAAGATACTCGGATAAGTTGAAATGGCATGGTAATTGGTAAACAACATACTAAGGTTACTATTGAGATTGTTGCTACAGAGAGACATTGCCAATGCCAATACCAATACCAATAGAATAGGTGTTTTTAGACAATTCTTTACTGTTAGAGTTGGAGTTTTACTATTGAATAATTTGGTGCTTTTATTCTATTTTTCTATGTTATGTTTGTTGGTGATTGGTGATTAAAAATTTTGTTAATGGCAGCCACAAAAAGGACTAATACTACTACTGGTAACTGATAAGTGATGGCAGCTCACTCACACT